TATAAAATTAAAAATATATGAAATTACTCATTTAATTTGAAGTTATTAGAATTTTTAATTTAATATTTTAGTGTTTGAATAATTTTGTTAGATTATTTTATTTAATTTGATTCCCACGTACAAAATTTAAAATTTAATTTAATTTAGTATATTTTTTTATTCGGTTAATAAAAAAAATTAACAGAATAAATTGAATTAATTTTAGTAAATTAATTTTTGAAATAAAAAAAATTGATTCGATTAATAAAGATAAAATAATAACATAATTTGAATAATTCGATTCGAAATTAACCAACCAAATGAACACCCTAATTATCAGGCAAGAACTCTGCTGAGCCCACTTAATTCCAAATCAATGCTTTTTAGCCAATTCCTTTTTTAGTTACTACTAGAAGTAATTGATGTTTCCCCTAGGTTCTTATTTCAAAAAACATTTAACTCCAACATTTGATTAATTTCTGCTGCATGTTACTTCTAAAATCATTTAATTTGAACATGTTCGAATTTCCAGTTGCAACTGCTCTGCTCTTCGTAGAGATCAAGGATGCTGCATTTCTGAAAACCTTGTCAGAGGTTATGCTATCCCTTTGGCTCAAATGGGAGCTCCGTGCAATGGTCGTAATCAGCCTAGCCGTTCAGCTTCTATTGATAAGATATGGGAATCGACGGCAATTCAGCGGGAAGGATGTAAAGCTTATCTCATTCCTTGTTTGGACGATGTACCTGTTTGCAGACTGGTTGGCAACAGTTGCCCTCAGCACTCTCCTCAGAAGCAGAAAGGAGCAAATAACCAGTCCATTAGTTATATTTTGGACCCCATTCCTGCTCTTGCATCTTGGTGGCCCAGACACAATCACTGCTTACTCCTTGTCGGACAATGAGCTGTGGCCTAGACATTTCTTCGGGCTGTGCTTCCAGATTGGAGTGGCTCTTTATGTCTATGTTAAGTTTTGGACGCTAACAGTTACTAAGCTCACCTTTTTGGCCATTCCAATATTCATTGTTGGAATTATCAAGTATGGGGAGAGGGTTTGGGCCCTCTTCAAAGCTAGTAGCAAGCGGTTTAGGAAGTCTGTGTTCTCGGATACCCAAAGTTTCCAGCTTGAAGCTGACCTTGAACCGGGTTCTTCAGAGGGGAAAATGAATCTGGAGGCTTATTTAAGTCACAGACAAATTAAGCACAAATACAGGTATCTTCAGCGAGCTTTTCTTTTATTTCATGTGTTCAAGCCCCTATTTTCGGACCTCAAGCTCAGAATTTACAGTAAGTTAAGTTACATATTTAAAATGGATCCCAATGTGACTGCAGAAGAGGCCTTCAAAATTGTAGGGATTGAACTTGGTTTCCTGTATGATATGCTCTACACAAAGATTCCTATAGTTTTATCTCGACAGGGTGTAATACTCCGCTGCATTTGCTTGTCATTCACCGTTTCCACACTGATTGCCTTCTTGATGGTCGTCGGTAAGCAAGGCTACTCGAAAGTTGACATTGGCATATCCTACTTGTTAATGGTTGGAGCCATCTTTCTTGAAATTTATTCAGCCATTCTACATCTTAGCTCTGACCGGGGAATTCTCTGGTTGACTAGTCAAAATAACAGGTTTCTTGAGGCTATTGGTTCTAAGTTTCTTTTGACCAAACCCAAGGGAATTCGATCCATGGCACAGCACAGCCTACTAGCTTATTGCCTTCAGCCTAGGAAACTGAAGCTGGCAGCAGGGTTAAACATATTTGACCCAGAGGACAATTTGGAGAAGTATATCCATACCAGTTGGAAGGATGTGAATCCTGATTTGCAAAAAATCATCTATTCTCATCTCCTACAAAAACGAAAGAAATATCGAGAAAAAGGTTTTGATTTCAAATATCTCTCAGAGTTATTGGAGGAGAGAGGATACAATGTGCTTGGGGAAACCAATAATTACCTGACACTTACTGGAGTGTTTCTGAGGCAGAATTTACCCACAGTGTCCTCTTATGGCATATTGCTACAGATTTTGTTTACCATGATGATGTTCTTAGGTTTCGAGCAGGTAGCCTTGGTCCACATTGCGAAATCAGTAAGCAATTATCTGATTACATGATGTATCTTCTCTTTCTCTGTCCAGCAATGCTTCCTGAAGGTATCGGTAACATAAGGCACCATGATACCTGCATTGAAGCAAAGAAATTTTTCCATGGAAAGTTAAGCTTCGGCGAAGCTATAGGGGCGTTGTCTGGAATTGGCTTTGAATCTCGATCATTCTTTGTCGAGATGGGAAGTAAGAGGAAGTCTGCATTCTTTGAAGGATATCATCTTGCCAACCAATTGCAAAATTTTGGTATCAGATTTTCATTATGATCACAAAGAAAAATGGGATCTGATAGCTCAAGTGTGGCTGGAGATGCTGACTTATGCCGCGAGTCAATGTTCGTGGAAGGAGCATGTGAGACAACTTCAGCAAGGCGAGGAGTTGCTAACCCACGTTGCACTACTCATGGCACACCTTGGTTTGAGTAAGAAAATCAATCTGGTGCCATTAACCGAAAGACTTCAGCAGGCCTCCTTTAAGCCTAGCTGGCATTGGGATAAGCTTGACCGATTGGCTTATTACTTGGCTTAGATTCATCCGTCATCCTCAAACCCGACTTGCTTTGGGTATTCTTCTTATTTTTACAATATTTTAATTTGGCTTTCTTTGTTTGTCCTTGTTAATTTCAAATAAACAAATGGATGTATGCCAAAAAATAAAAAAGCATTTTAATTTGGCTTTCTTTGTTTGTCCCTGTTAATTTCAAATAAACATATAGATGTATACAAAAAAAAAGCATTCATTGTTTTTTTTTAATAATTGATGTATATATGTTTTATTTTACTTAGTTAACTTTTTATACACACAAAACTATATTATTTTCAATTGAAAGCTTTGCCAAAAGAAATCATATAATAAAAAACGAAACAAAATTCGAAATTCATAATTGCAAGTAAAAGATAAAAAGAAAAAAAAAAAAAGAGATAAGGGGACTTACAATATGTGAAGCCTAGGGAACAAATTGTTGCAATTAAGATGACATTTCTTAATTGATGCAAAATACAGAAGACTTGGAATTTATACGAATACAACTCAGACAATTGTAGTGTTTTTTTTTTTTTTTTGGCATCAGCTTATTATTTCATCTGAGTCAAAATCAATTTGGGTTAGTTATAGTTGTAAATGCAACCACAACTTTAGAAACTGAAATAAGAAAAAGTTGTAACAAAAGAATTTAAGCATGTCAATCTAACTAGATCCCACGTTCTTCAATCATGAAATAGTTTAAAAGTAAACAATGTTAAATACAAAAAAAAATTTATTAAGACTTCGTAATAAATCTTACTCGAAATAATAAAAAAAAAAAACTCATCGTAAATTTGTTTAAATATTTGTAAAAAAAAAAAGATCGAAAGTAATAAATATCATAAGAAAATAAAGTATCTTCGTACTTTTTTCACATAGCATTATTGGAATTAGAACTATTGTATCATTATTGCAAGACATTATTTTTTTAAGTTTTTTTTTTTTAGATACTGAATAACTATAAAATAAGTTTTTTTTTTTTTTTGCCTTTATACATTACCTTTTAAAATAAAAACAGATTGCAGGTTTCATCAAAAACTTTATTAAATTTATCTATCATCAAAATATAATCAATTATTTAAGTTTGTTTTTTAGATTTTAAACAAGTCTAAAATAAATATTTTGTGTAAACAGGAAATGGAGGATAGTCAATTATTTGAGACTTAGGGTGGGTAATGACATAATTTTTAAACATAAGATTTGCTAATAACAGGTTTGAAATTGCGTATCTGATCATATAATTCAATTTTATAGCAAATAAATGAAAAAAAAAAAAAAGGTGAGGAATGTAAAAAAAATCTAGTGACTAAAAACAAGAAAAGCCACCAACCATGGCACTGCCAAGCCAAACCCACACCCCCCTCCCCACCCCAAAAAAAAAAAAAAACCCACGTTTTTTTAATTACCAAACCAGAGTTAATTTGCCATCTCTTCAAAGCCCAAATTCAACTTACCTTAAAGATGAATTTGGATAAAGGATTTCTAAGAGATAATTTATTTTTAAATGATTTTTTAAATTTAAAATAAAATTATTTTGTTTAATAAAATAAAATTTAAAATTATTAAAATTCTTGTAATTGGAAAGAGGGTTTTAGTGGATTTAAATTCTCTTTTGAAATTTCAACTCAAAATGTGAAATTTGTAAAATTCTTCAAATTTTTAATAAAATATGAATTTTAATTATGCTTTTTTGCATAATTTTTTCTTCAATTATAACTAAAAAAACTCATTTGAAATTTTTTTTTTTGTTTTTTCATGTTATTAGTACTATTTATTAATTTTTGACAAATCTAATGACATTCAAATTACATATTTTTTTCAATAATTTTCTTATTCTATTTCTATTATCATTATTTTTTATTTCATCAAATTTAATATTCAAAATTTCTTTTTAAAAAAATTTATCTATGAACAATGCAATTACAAATGCTAATATTTTGAACTAATATATTTTAAAATAATTTTATTTCAAAAGTTTTTTGTTTCATTCAAATGCATACTTACATTTGGAGATAACTTCTCTCCGATGGTCATTAATTTGCAGATCCCAACCGACGGTGACATCCAAAAGAATACGTTAATAGCTAAGACCTGTCACAGACAAAAGCTTAAAGAAAATTAAAGGAAAAAAAAAAAAAAAAACCTTAATCAAAACATAACATCTTCCAAATAAACAGCACAGCAATAGGTTCAATATCCCCTTTAAGGTTGCCTCCACAGCTGCATCACTACCCCATACATTATTTTATGTTTTAGCAGTCTCAAAAAGAAAAAAGTCTACAAGCACTGTCCTATCTTTTCTTTGATCAATGATCAAACAACTCCATATATCTCAAAATCCTTATCTAAACTTTTTTTTTTTCCTCTGTTTCAAAACTCAAAGTTTTTAATCAAGAATCATGACATTTGAAGAAGCAGAACCGAATCCAACCCCGGCACATATCTTGGATTGGCCTGAATATTCAGTATCATTCCTTACATCTTTCGTGGATAATCCGTACAACACGGGCGACGTCAATAGCTACCAATGGTGGGATCAGAATCAAGATATAGGTCAAGATCTGATTAACATAAGCGATACTGCAACGTCGATCAATAGCCCCACAATTGCTATTGCTGCTGCTGCTGCTGCAAATACTAACAACAATGGCCTGATACAGTCTAATTCCACCATTCCTAATCCTCCCTTGCCATCCAATTTATCCAAGAGAAGGAAACCCTCTGATGACCTGGTTCCAAGGATATCTCAGAATCATCAACACGAGGAATCGGAGCAGTAAGATCAATGGAAACAAGGATGGGAAAGCAGGACCCGAAGAAGTGGCAAATAAAAGGTCGGCTGGAAACAAGAAAAATTCAAACAAATCTTCGGGAAATAACTGTATTAACGGCAATAACAAGGAAGATGGGCAGAACAGTTGCTAAAACCTTGTGCAACATCTATTGTATGTTCACAACGAGCCCGCCTCACCTACTGGAGATCCAATCATCGACCTGCAGACCAAGGCCTACGAGGTTACGAGCCTTGACCCACCACCAATCCTCCTCTTCTGCTTCCACAGGATCTGTTACTTTTGATTCCATTGAGCCTAAGTTCTTTCAACGATCTTTACTCAAATTCTGTGAGGTTTGCATTATTGTTATACCCATTCACTAGGTCAACACTTGATCAACATGGCCATCAACATGGTCAACCCTTTGAGTTGTTCAGACAGTGAACCCCCATGTCGTCACGTCATCTATACCCAAGGAAACGGCTCGCCCCTGGCGAAGAGAAGAACTCACCCAACATTCCATTGACGTCACATCAAAGCATCACTTCAGATTTGAACATCTGATCTCCAACTTGTCTTAGACTATTAAAAACAGCTTCTAAAAGAGGTGAGCATGTCTATATGAGAAATGACATAACACTACAATCAATAAGCAATTTAAACTTTTAGCTTCAAAGAAGTAAAATAAATTGTAGTTTTTCCTAACTCACAGGGTATTCATCACTAAACAAAGCCTGAAGGAATGTATAAGGAGAAGCATCGATGGGGCTGCAATTGATGATAAACTCTAGTAAGAGGCCTAGTTTTCCCCTAGCAGACTCATCCATATTGAACTAAAATAGCACGTTGACAGTTGAACAAGACCATTGCATAATTTGTCTTTGTTGCATCCCTACGAGTTCTCGAGTAGGACCACCATTCAACTTCGGTCAACATTGAAAACCCGTCTGTGGCTTTTACCCAGAATAAAGTTCTCAACTTAATCATAAATAATATTCCTTCACCATCCCAACTGCTCCCATTAAAGACAGACTTATTCCTAGCTAACCATAATGCCATAGACTGGAGTAGCCCCGCATACTGATAACCACCTTTGTTTTAATTACTCCTGCAAACAGAGCATTTTCACATTGACACACCAGATCCTCCACATTCTTTGGAAGCACTCATTACAGCTCCCACCACTTAAGCACCAGACTCCAAAGTCCCAAAAATCCAGGAGTAGTGACATAACACCAGAACATGGTCATAATCTTCCTCAACCAATCTGCACCAATTGCATACCATCTGGCGTTCTTCAAAAGTTCCTTGATCTGAGGAAGCTATTAGACGAGATACTATTCTCAATTGTCATCCAAATAAAATTTTGAATACTTGGGGCAATGTTATATTTCCAAATTGAATCGAACCATACCTGCTGACCAGAATCAAGATTTTGGCGGTCCAAGGTTGTTACAAACTGCTTGACCGGGAATAAGCTCTTTTATCTGGTTCCCATATAAATTTACCTTTTATATTCACCCTCAGGGAAACATCTCTCTCACGACTAGCTTCATACTTCTCAGCAAATCTTCTTTCCATTCAAATAGCGGTCTTCTAAATTGAAAATTCCATTCCCTTGCACTATTCACCATATCAACCCCCGTAGACTCCTTATTTGAAGTCAATAAAAATAGCTTAGGTTAGGCTTCTTTCAATGGTCTATCTCCAATCCACTTATCTATCCAAACTGAATGTTTGAACCATCACCAATAATCCATCTGCCTGTCCCAACACCGATCAGTTTATCAACTACATTAACATTTTTTATATCAACAATGTCTTCTCACACATTTGACAAATTTTCAGGCTGTGTAGCACAAGGAATCCAGTTTATCACTCCTCTCCCATATTTTTCCATTATTAATCTTCTCCATAGAGCATCCTGTTCTGTCTCTCAAGTCACTAAGACACCAAAAGGAAAATCTTGAGGGATATAGAGATCACCCAATTCTTCAGTGCTGCCTGACTTCATCTCGCTTCCCTTTCCATCCTCGTTAATTCTTTTTTATCATTTACGTAGGCATCCTATTTAATTTGAAGTCTATTAAATTTTGAAATTCATCTGTAGTTGGTATAATATTAAAATTTTAGATTTCTTTCTGGGCTATAAATTAACCCATTTTTGTTTAAATTGATATTAATATTTAGGTCCTACTGGGTTAATTGAGTTTGATTTGGGTTTAAACCCAAAATAAAGCCCATTTCCCCTTCCCCTTTTTTTTTTTAAACCATTTCATTTTATTATTAGTATTATTATTTTAAATTTTTTATTATTTCCGAAGAATCAAATAAAAAAGAAGAAAAAAAAAAAAGCAGGTGAAATTCTTGATAAAATTTTCGAAAATTTTGAAATCAAATTCGTAGAGATGATAAATTTTGCAACTTTTAAGGAATAAAATCTCAAGATAAAAATTCGAAAGTTGCTTAGCTCATTCCTCATCTAATCTGGAGTTTCATTTTAATGAAAGCAAAGTCCCTATATAATCCCGATCACACACCAAAAGGAGCATAAAAAAGAAGGCAATTTCAAAGCAAGAAATAACACTTAAAATTATGATACTTTGGTCCTTAGAGTTTCGGAAGTAGTGTTTCTTTAGGATTTTCTTCCTAGATTTCTAGACTAAGAAAGGAGGGGCTATGAAAAATTTCACACATTACCTAGAAATGTGGGTTAAGAGCATGACATCAACGTTGATACTTCTCCTCAAAGGAAAGGCACTGGTTTCAATAATACTCAGATTAGCATGGGGAGATTATGTATATTTGATGTGGACGGAAAGGAATAAGAGGCTATACAAGTCAGAAGAAAGCAAGAGAGAACAGATCGTAAGGGGAACTAAAGATGCAATTAGGCTAAGGTTAGTTTGAGTAAAGAATATTGAATGTGATCATGTTGATCAAACATTGTTTGAAAAATGGGAGCTTATTGGAGACACGTTTGTAATTTAAATTGATAATTGATATTGTTGTACTTGATACAAGGTAGCAGTATTTATTGTTTTTTTAGATAAATGAAAACACCACTTATCAAAACAAGAAAAAACCTTGGTAATTGTCAAGGGTTTTGGTTCATAAATTTTTAAATTTTGAGAGAAAAAATAATTTAGGTAAAAGTGATATTAAAAAAGAATTTGTGATTTTTGAGTTTTTGTTCACTTAAAAAAGTAAAATTTTTGTGTTTAGTTCACAGAAGTACAAAATTATTTAATAAATTTTTTTATTATATTGTGTTTGATAACACATAAATAATAAGTGACATTCATAGCATTAAAATGTAACTTTTTCAAACAAAGATTGTATTTTTTATTTTAAAAACATTATTTTTGTTGAATTCTAAAAAATATTTTTTTCATATTTTTAATAAAAATTGCGTTTTCTGTTTTAGAATTTGTCAAAAAAAAAGTTATTAAATCAAATGCATTGATTTAAATAAAACTTAAAAGAGAATTTTTTACTTGATACTCTCAAATTTTTTTCTAGAAATCCCTAAAAATTGGAAAATTTAAAATTTACAGAAAAATTTTTGAAAAATTATTGTTGGATACCTCTAAAATTTTTTTCTAAACTTTTTTTCTATTGATAAAATTAGTAAATCCGTCAACAACGGTGTTTCATATATATATTATAAAAAAAATTCTGAACTGTCACTGATACATATATATATGCACAGATATTTATATAAATAATACCTTCTTCTGACTTAATTTTGGTGTTTAATTTCTGAATAAAGAATTTAGCAAATGACTTGTTTGTTTTCTAAAGGTGGTTCTCGCATTAGCAAGGGGATGTCAACCGAGGCATAGAATAGAAAAGGAAAGAAAGTTCTCTACTTGGTTAGTTGTTGATAGCATAAATAAACACTATTCTTATAAATTCATCTGCAGCTTTCACCAAACTAGATAAGACATTCATTTTAACATTTAAAAAATATTACATGAAAGTTCTCTTTTTTTTTCTTGGAAGTTAGTTTTAAGGGGAAAAAAAAACTTTGTAAATAAAAGCATATTTGCCTACTGTTATGTGTCTAAAAATGCTGTTAAAGAGAAAAGGCTATGGTCAGATAGAAAACACAATGAAAAGTGCTGCCTTTACCATACAACAATATTTTTTGAAGTTTTAACAGCACTTCATGCATGCCGTGTAAACCCATTTGTGGCGTCGAACATGGAAATAAGAATGAAACGCTACTAATCTGAAAAGAGGGGAAACTTCAAAGGGGTTCTGCTTATAATTTACAAGTCTTCATTCCCTTTATGTTAGCATATGTGTAAAACTCTTTGCATCAATTCATTGCTTATCGGCTAATCCAAGTTATGTTATTGTTCTCTTGCTGTCCTCAGTACATTAACTTTTAAAGTTAATCAGTTATTCCCCGGCCTAATGATCCTTTACTACTCAATCTTTGTATTATCCCTGCTGAAAAACTCCAACGCATGCACACCCATGGTGGCGAGACCCCACATATACAATATTTTTGGACTAGTATGGTTTTCTATACAACATTCTAGTGTAATGTGCACTAATGCAGAAGAATCACATTTCTTCTCTTTGGTATTTTCCCAATTCCCTCTCCTATTGCTTTGCTAATTGATCACTTTTACCTTGTTTTATATATATATATATATATATATCTTTTGCTGAGTGAACTTGCCCATTGAGAAATTGCTATTCTTTATCTCCTGAAAAACATTTGAAAAGAAAGTTGCTACCACTACTTAATTTGCTTTTGTCAAATGTGCAAGTAAAAATCCCGTATAAAAAATGCAGAACTTTCTGACAGAAGATTGTTTTTGTAATCTGTCACAGAAAAGTTAACAGATTGTAAGCTGTCGGAGATTCTTTACTTCATTACATGGAGAAATCTTGCACCACATGTATCATGAACAGTGATTGTCCGCTCCCTTCTCTTTGCAGCTATAAATACAGTTATGAGACCTTAACTGCATTTCTATTACTAGACAGTT